TAAAAGCCATAAACGTTATTTTACATTAACATTTAAACACCATGCCGGTTTTACGTTCTGTTCACACCATAGTTAGCCGTCATGTGGGCCCTTCGAGGCCTGAACGAAAAGTCTAGCGTCGGTCCCTAAGGACCGGTCTGGTGTTTAACCCCTTCCCGTAATTTGACGAGTCTGACACGTGACGAAGATTTTGGCCCAAACACAAATATCACGAGTCAGACACGTGAACAGAAAATCGGCCCAAAGATGAATGTCACGAGTCAGACTCGTGAACAGAAGATTTTTCTAAATATAGTTTTGAAGCTGTCATCTATTATAAGATAAATAGATTTATAAAAGGAAAAAGGATTAGAATTTACTTCCACAATAGTAGTATCGCGTAAAACTGACTATATCGCACGTCTTTATATTTCGACTCGTATTTCGACTGTTTTCGAGCATCAGTCTGGTCTGTTCGCGGGAAGAAAAAGGGCAGGGACTTGTTCAGGTATAATTCAGCAGTATAGTAAATACACGAGAGTGAAAAATAATTCTATATGAACCTTCTGAAATGCAAAATGGCTGAACGGAGGTCGTATTTGGAGTTGAACTGAAAGAAAGAATCCTATCCAATAAAGCTCATGAATAAACCTTAGCTGTCACTTACTGTAACTGACATCACCATTACTGCTATTGCAACCTTCCAGCAGTCAGGATTCGCAATAATTTCCGGAAGTTCGAAATTCCAGTGTCACTCTGTCTCGCTTATTTTGCTTATTTCTATGACAAGAATCCTGGGTCGTGGATTCTGATACAGAGACAGGTCCCTTTGGCAGAAAACAGCTGCTACAGATCGCTGTACCCGATAATCGTTCCAGAGGGTGCAAATGAAACTGTCAAGGCGAGATGTCGAAGATCGTAATCGACTTTTCACTGTCGTTCTTGTCGCGTGGTCCTGAACCAAACCCTCTAAGCGAGGACAAGTATTGTGTGCGATTTTAGGGCATGCCTGTGAGCGACCGCGCCGTACCCCGAGCTTAGGCTCTATACCGGCTTCGCGAAAGAGATGTTACTGTACTTTCTAGTGTCACCACTGCAAGAGAACGCGTGCGTAGGTGTTGGACACATTAGCTTGGAAAAACCCTGCCTTCACCTAGGTGAGGACAGGTCAAAAAGGATGACCTTCGTGGTGGAGTTGCGGGGGCGTCCTGGCAATTGCGTCGTCGCGAAGTTCAGAACGCTCCAATATCGCGTTAGAATGGCCATCGTGGGGATTTTAGTGGGTACATATCCCACATAACCCCGCCCCATCCCCTAGGGGGGCCGGGTATCTTTGGAAGATTTCCCCCGCGTAAAAAAACAAAAACAAAAAAATAAAGGTCAAAAGGGATCTTTGACTGTCGATTGCGCGATTCTCGATCAAGGGGTCAGCCGATTCGTGGAACGGAGGGCACACCCAACTCGCCCCCATCGATTCCTCGCGCAATTATTTCAACCCCGCGTGCTTTCTACGAATGAAAATAGGACGTCGTTCGATTTCTCGGTACGCGTGGTCGCCACGAAGTTCACAGTAAAGGCTGCAGAAAAATTAATCATCGATCCACGCGCCATCATCGAGATTAAATCGGGTCTCTCTTCGTGGAAAGGAGCGAACGAGAGTTCGGAGTTCCTCCGGAAGCCGGAAGTATAAATTTTGCCAATTCCTTCGGGCTATCTCGGATCGTAATAAACATCCAACGTGCCTAGAATGCCGCTGCTATTATTACGCCTTTCGGGGAATCGCGTTGACACATTGGAGAACTGGCAATGAATCTCGTCGAAGGATGAACCGGTATCTATCTAAGGTTATCTCGCTGTGAGAATGAGTTTCAACGAATGACAGCTTTCTTTCGCGTTGTATCTGTTTAGATTGGATATGAGTGGCCTCCGGCGATTGCGATTCCGTAAAAGAGATAATCTCCGCGATGACTCGGACCGATTTCTCAATGGATTGTGTCCACGATTTCGCGGCCGTGGCCTCGATTAAAATGGATCCAAGGTATTCCATCAACGAAATGATCGATTCGGGGCACTCCTTCGACGAAAATGCGCTTTTAAGACACGCCCTGAATTGGCGTGGAAGATAACGAATAATCGGACATGTAGTCCAGAATTTATAGACTCGAGAGAAAATTTGCTAATAAAAATGTGGTTTCCTGAAAATTCTAATTACACCAATTATACTAAGTGCTACGAACGTCAAGAGCCTGTCTTTTTCCTTTTCTTTTTTATTTCTTTATCTTTTTAACGTAATACGCGCTGGTTAAATTCTAACCCTTACGAAGAATGAATAGGTGAAAGAAGATACATGTCCATGAAATATGGTACATGTTAAAGTACAAAGGAGACGGTAACAAGTGTCTAAGAATATTAGATAGTAATCGTGGAATTACGCTGTTGCGAAATTGATGAACAGTGTGTCAAGACTCGAAGCGTGGCTTAGATCAACTACAAAAGAAGATACAATCGTCGGACGTGGATTATTAAACGCACATTATGATACAAAGTTTAGCGAAGACTACTAAGAATTAATTCGCAAAACATAAACCAGAATTTACGTTGAAAAACCAAATTATTTTTCCTATGCTACTTTAATCTCATCAATCCTAATACCTCACATATTCTTTTCATAAAACAGACCATTTAATAACAAGCCCTCTAATTAATAATAATTGACGTAAATTATGTAATTGTACAATATCAGATGAAAATATTGAAATATAAATTACAAAGAAATTTGAAATATCACAACTCAACTGGGAAACCCAACTTTTACGCAGTTTACATATTGGCTTCATCCCTGACTTAAGATCGAGAATTGACTCTTCTTTGTCGTAAAATACTCGAGGCTGTCATCGAATGTATCGTTACCGAAATAAAAAGGAGTAAAAGCAAGACTGGAGACTTAATGGCCTGGCAATGATACCGCAAGTGCTGCAATTTTTACTCGCGATACGTACGAATGAATATCGTTAATGGCGCCAGATGTTCCAATGTCGGCAGATGTCTAAACTAATGTTTACTGGCGCCGATGGATTCGCGCAAAATAAACGACGTGCATCCGGTGCGAGTGACGTGTGAACATTTTGCAAAACGCGAGATATCGTAGTCGACGTCGAAGGTTCTGATCGGTCAAGGCTACGAAGATGTTCCGTACTATTATTTGCCGCTTGACTATCTCGTGAAAACTCAACGAGCAGTCGTTACGCAAGATTACGTCTCTTTACGCTGAGATCGCGGAAACTGCAGTTTCCAAGTAGGAAAAGTCGATAAAAATGTAGCGGAGTTTGCGTCTTTTGCTTGAAAGTCTCAAAGGGTGCTTCCTCCCGTAAAGGCGGTGTCTGCAGCGGCAATCAAACTTGGTATTTATTTTGATCTGAAAATCGGCGAAGTAAACAACTGGCTCGGAAATGCTTATGAGAGATTCGTTGAAAGAGATTGGCGGATAAAAGAGAACGATGAATGAGAGAAATAACGATTTCGTGTTGGCAGTGACGCGTGCCTCCGTTGTTAGAGTGGCCGTTGAAATTAAATCGTAATTAAATTATCGTGGCTTACTTTTGTTTAATTGCGACACTTTGGATTCTCCGCTCCATTGCTGAGCTTCATCGCGATGAAGGAGTGCTGAGACTGAAAGAGCCTGGAACTTATCTTGTTTGACGAATCGTCACGATCAGCTGTATGATTTATTTCCATGACGTAAATATGGTGATGCGATTGTGTGATTAAGTCCAGAAAATGAACGACATAGTCTAGTAAAAAGTGGGATAACTTGTACTACTCAAACGTTTCAGTTATCGAATATTTTTATACAGATCCGGCTATTTCGAGACACGTAAACGAGCTCGTGGGCGCGGAAAGGTTACGAGGCCGTTTCCATCGGTGATATTATTGATAGCAGCTGTCTGTGTAAGGGTAGACAGGTTTTCCTTCGGCAATGAATAGAGAAGAATTTCATTGACCGACAGAAAATCGATGCTGCTATACGGCGAGATATATATGTAGATTCCTCGAGGAAAGAGAAATCTATAGAATTATGAATTATTCGCTTTATAAAACTTTAAATTAACGAGTTAATGCGATATAGTATCGAAGTGATACTGTATCGTAAAAAATAACATCGGTAAGAATAAGTTGAATAAACTGTAGAAGTGCCTTAATAAAATTATATAATTGTTCGAAATTAATTAAAGTAGCAAAGGTTGATATTAAATATGTATACGTAAACGAGTTACTACGTGCTATTCCGCAAATAGTAGCGCTATTTAAAAAATTGATTTCTTTCTATCAATAATGCATTACTCATTGAATGGAACATTTATATAGCGAAGGTTGGTATCGAAGAAACCTGTGTCCGATAAATAAGAGATTATGTTTTTTAAGGTATCTTATCGTTATATCAGTAGAGATTGCATCGGAAGAAATATTGAAATAAACTATTTTTTAAATGTGAAAGATCCTTATCGAATTCACATAAATGCATTAGAACATAGAAACTGTATAATTCCATTTCCTTCTTTATCGACCAACGATACGTATTACGTGATTCATAAAGTATTAATAAGTTAGGACCTTCACGAATGAAGCGGTGCATAAATCACTGTGAGATCGTTTGTATACAAAAATAGGATGTTTGTAGTTGAATAGTCGAGAATAGTATTATGACGTGCGAAACTGATGTTAATTTCGCACGAAATTGCATTCGTGACATTGCATGAATGGAATCCTATATTTATCAAAGTGTTTTGGCACAAATAAGTGGAAAACATTCCTCTGAATAAACAAGCAACGTAATTTGGACGAATCACAATGGTATACATTTATATTCTTAATATTGAGTATTTTATAATACATTGGTATTCTATATCAAAATGTTTTGCAATACCAGATATAACAGATTTTTAGCTACTTTACTATATTAAGATAACGAAGTAACTTGGCCAAAAAACATTGATATAAAAATATTTTTAAAACTATCATACCTTTCTTTCTGTTGCATTTGTTTCAACATAATATCTGCAAGTGGATCGGCTGGTGGCCTTTCTCCGAGAAGCCTTTGTCGATCTAAGTCTCCCTGCATTTGAGCAAACGCATGCTCACCAATATTCACTGATGTCTCTAATTGCGCAGACAATTCAACGCTTTCATCGCCTGTGAAAAAGAAACGTAGAACATTCTGTGAATAACTGAGTCACTATAGACTTTTGATGTACTTAGCATTGCTGTATATCGTTACCATGCAGGGCATGTTGAGGATTGTCGATGATTCTAATTTGTCGATCAGGGAGTAAAGGTTCTCCATCTATTCCACCTATATCGTTTGGTAGTTGCCAGCATGCATTGTCTTGTTCTGCTAAATTTCTTGGGAAATAGAGTGGAAGAAGAACTTCATAGATACCAAGATCACATGGCTCCAACACAAACACAATGCATGTAACAGAATCGCCATATTGCTCCAAAAATCTTCTTATAGTTCCTATTATAATAGAATGAATAGAGTTAGATACTATAGACGTGTAATTTATAAATTTTTATAAATTTACATAATTTGTACTTACTGAGTGCAATATGAGCTCCAGCATCAGGAGGGTAATTTCTTCGTACAGAATTAATTACTGGTAGAGCAACCGTACGCAGACCAAGCTCTCGTGCTTTTTGTAAAACATTTCTGTAAGAAAGAGTAACTGGTAATTTATATATATTATTTGTAAATATTTCCATTGATAAAAAACTTACCTATAGCAGCAGTGCAATGTATTTTGAGCTGCTGTTTGATACTTCACATTGTATACTGGTCCAACGGTATGAATAATAAAGCGTGCAGGTAATCCATGGGCTTGCGTTACCCTTACTTCACCAGTTTTGCATTCTGTAAATAATCATTTATTTTATAAGTAAATTAAACTGATTATTCTTTATTCTATGGATCGTACCTTTGATTTCATTAAATATCTCCATCTTAAGTGCTGAACCAGCCCGAGCAAATATTCTTTGGCACATAGGACTGTTATCATCCATTGTTTCATTGGTAGAGTTTACTACTGCATCTACTTGCAAAGCAGAAATATCTCCAGTCCTGAAACAGTATTGCTTATAACTCTCTTTATAAATCAACTAATCTTGTTTATTGTAGTTATTCCAATCTTACCACAGCGCAAGCTTGTTGTTAAGTGCTGGTTGACATGGAAAGGGACTTATTGTATGATGAGTTGGTTCCCCAATGGAATTGGAGTAGTCTGTGAATCGGTGATGGACAGGGAAGTCGGACCATTTTTTCAATGCGCCCGTCTCCACCACATCCGGGGCAACACCCAAAGGTTCCATGAGCCTCATTCAGCTGAAACAAAGAAATTTTACGTTACAATCAAGCGTACACACAACCTTAACGGTGTATATCTAACCTCATTCTTTCGTCAAATAAAATCTAAGATAATCCGAGCGAATTTTTCCATACGTTCACCGTTACATTCACAGATCGATATGTTCCATATTCTACTATTTTTCCACATCATTCATTCACGAATATCGAATATGCTTTGTTATTCTCCTTCGCGAAATGTCACGCTGATAGTTACAGCGCATGCGCCACACAACGGCCAAGTTGACGCGAAATTCAAACCGTATCGAACGCCACGTGTTCTATCGTTCGAACGAACGACATACAAAACGATATCGACGTCGAACCGTTTGAGGAACACTGCAAAATTAGATCACATGCAAGGGAATTATATACGTACACGTGTCAGAGTACAACGACAGGGGAAACTTTATCGAATTTAATAGGATCGTAAAGCGCAAAAGGGAAGCAAGGTCGTCGAAGTTACCCCAAGCCGGAGACGAAATAGTTGCTGACGCGCGGACCATCTCCGATATCGTGGAAACCTAAAAATAAACAGTGTTATCGATGAAAATCTGGGGCACACCCCGGGCTAACGGGAGCAGCGGGCGCCCAAGGACGTAACCCCGATCGGGAGTTTCGAAAAACAACTTAATTCGTGGACGACCCGTGTCGTCCTGTGCGCATGCAGTCACGTGTTACGCGTTAAAGCATGTCTGTGTGAGAACTCCCTCTACACGGCCGGTATGTGTGTACCCGTGTTGGACACAGAATGTAGGCTTCCCTAATGGCAAGGAGACAGAGCTTGGCGCCGTCTGTCTTGCTACGGAACTTCTATCCTGACAACCCCATAAAGAACAAGATCATCGACCTCCTTACGTTACTAGGTCCTGCAATCCTTTTTAACGGCAAATCTATTCAACCACCTGAAGTTCCAGGCATTAGCAACGCACAAGGGAGAGAAGTACGTCGAACTACTTGACCGACAGGCTTCTCGGAAGGTACAAATTTTTTTTTCACCAAAAATTCCCTAACATACCTCGAGCGATAAATGTCACTATGAACTAAAACGTAAAAAGCAATAATACTGGGGGAATAATTCGTCAGAGAAATTCTTAAAAAATTCATCAACTTTATTAATTTCCCAGGCATCGGAGATCGATGAATTACACAGGAGGCTAAAATTCGTACTCGGAATACGCCATTCACCGAGATTCACTTCCCATCGATCCCCTGTCCCGTCTCTCTTCTCTTCAATCAAAGCCACGAAAGCTCGTTTCCATCGCGGAAGAAACTCGAGATATTATTTGCATAAACCCATTTGTCAATTCGCGTTACAGCAACTATCGATGAAAACGGCGAAGGGTGGGGGAAGAACCGTGAAAGCGTTCCAGCCCTAATGTTTGCTCGTTTGTATCAACAGAGACGAGAGAAGCCGCAAATGGGACTCGGCCGAGCGTTCACGGGTAGCTAGTTCTTATCAGCGAACGTTCCTAGAGCGAAGTAAAATTGCACAATGGAACAAATTAGCATTTTTATGGCGGCGTCGTGTTTGAGCATCGGTGAAACCTTGACGAATGTGGAGCAAGATGCTTCATCGATCGTATAAATGAATTCTGATGTTTACCCAGCAAAGTTCTGGGTACGAGCGCGCGCGTTAAGAACACATCCGGTTTAATCGATTTTAAAGGGAAACATCAGTCTGCCAAGATCGAACTAGAGCTACGTGTGTGGGTCACGGCCATGTATTCTAGATATTCGTGTGCAATCGGAAGGTGAAACCGAGGTATTCTCTCGGCGAGGAAATTAATTGCGAAAAAGTTTGCGGCACGTGGAAAATGGAAAACGGATTTCTTTTTTAAAATCAAGTTTCGTTATTAACGATGAAATATTTATACCTTCTTCGATATCGTTGCACGATTATCGGTTACATTTTCCCAAGAGCGGAAACTTTCAGATGTTTTCCCCGCAGAAATGGCATCCTTGTATAATAAGCGAGTGCTCTGACGTTCTATCTCTTCCCAAGTTTTTAATTAAATTTAGTCTCGTTGAAGGAAATAAAAGGTCACTGTCGTGAACGAGCAACATCTTTAATTAAATCAAACTACCAAACAAGCCACGCACACGTGCTAAACGCGGGATAATCGAGCGCAACATTGCAAATATTAAAATTAATTCTTCGAAGCTCGAGAGAATTGCAGGAGAAAAACTTGTTTTCCGAAGAATTAACCTTTCAGTCCCGAGGGGTTATTTTTAGTTCGATATTCGACATGAAATATTCAAAGAAAAATGGCAAACGTTAATTCGTACACGGTTCCCCTCTCTCGTGTCCCAAAAAATGGCATCGATTTTACAACGGGGAAGCTACGAGTCGCGATTTCCCAGCGACGAGAAAAACCTTTGAGTACGAGGGATTAAATCCTTGACGAAAGAGAGTTAAAAGGAGATCCGAAATGCTCGGAAATGGTAGAAAGAAATGGCAGAATGGTAGAAACGCGAGCGCGTGGCAGAGACGCTTTTGAAGATCGCTTCAACCTCGACTTACCACGAAAGGGTTAATGTTTCGATCTATTCCAAGCACAAAGGCAAAGGCGGACGAGCTAATCGGCCGTAAAGGGCCCTCCACTTTTACCATCGTCATCCTTGAAGATGCATTCGAAATCGAGCCTCATCCTCCGCCTCGGAAGAACCTTTCCGCCTTCCTCGCTTTCCTCTCCTTCCGCGGCCGACTTCCGGGCCATCAATCATCGAAAGAAAACTCGCGAGACAGGTGCAAAGGGGGACAGATAGAAATTGCATTTGCTCTGCACTCGTGCACCAAGGTGTCGGGGAGTTCTCGCGCACTTCCGTTCCCTTTCACCGTTTTTCCACGATTTCAAGCGATACTGAGCGATCGAAGTTTGGAAACGCGCGGTGTTCGGCTGTCTAGAAGAGTTTCCCGTTTCTTACAAGGAAACTTCCACCCCATTGTCCCCCCTGCTCCCGCGGAACCTCTATTTCTACGGTTTCGTCTATGCTCGAGGAGAGATAAAGCTATCACGCGCTATGACCCAGATTAAAACGATTACCGATAGAGGTCGTTTCCTCTGCCACCTCTTGAAAGCCTCTAAAGCTCGCCGCCGAACTTTCGCGTAATCTTTATTGCACCCCTCATAATTGCACTTTCCGGGTGCAAGCTCCTGTTCGCAGCTCGCGTGACTGCGCTTTCCATCGTGCACACCGGATACACACCGGGTGTAGCAGAACGATGCCGGAAGCCGAGGTCGTGTAACGTTCGGCCCAAGTTAAAATCTCGTTACGCCTTTTCATTAATCTCTTGCCACGAGTTTATTGGACGTCGCATTCGATCAAGATAAGCTCAATTTGTGGAAATTCGACGGCGGGGATCGTTAGTCGCGTGTTTGATAAATTCGATCTGACGTACGTATGATGTATTGTACAGTGTGTGAGAAAATGATAAGATGTTTCGTGATTTCAAGTATTTTCCCGAACTCACTTGCGCCCTCTGCAAATTTTATGGAAATACTTTTATCATATAGAGGATTAAATTCTGTTTGGTAATTTTTACACGCAATAGTACAGAAAAGTAAGTCTACAATATTTCTATATTATGCAATTTCGTGTGTTAAATTCGAATATAGGTACAAAAATTGTTCGACGGATTTAAATATCGCGAAGGTAGTAATTTTCTTCCATATATTTTGTCAACAATTTTCTCTGAAGTTACTGGAGGGATAATAAAAATCGTGAGCTACAATTTTGACACGGACTGTACGCGTGTAGATTTCCCTTGCTCACGCGAATGTACCTAAAGAGTAATTTCTCACAGTCGTCGTTCGACGCAACAATTTTATTCTCGAGGCTTGACTCGCCATTGTTCGCGATACAGGGTGAAACGAGCCCAGTGTCCCGGATAATTCCGGAAAAATTAATTAGCCCCGGAGCTAGATTTTCCTCTCAATCTTAACTGCATCAGCACGGACGAGTTATTGGAAATTGCCATTACTCAACGAGGGTTCCTAGGACAGTGTGTACCCGTCGAGGAATCGATCGGAAACAATAAACGCAAATCGAGTTCGAAGAACACTCGAACCACGCTCAACCCCCGAACAATCGCGACTTTTTCCGTTTTATAACACTATCCAACGAATTTTTACTTTTCCTCCAATCTGGAATATTCGTTAGGTGATTCTCGTAGAGTTTATTTTCCCGAACGCGAATCCGTAATTGAAAAATTTTTCTATCAGCCTCGATTTTTGCGAAAAATGTGAAGTTTACGGGAAAGGCACGATTTTTGGCTAAAATGAAGTATTACGTAAAAAGTAAGAACGTTAGGGGGTTGATTGTTACTTCACAAGTTATGTGAGAGTACCTCGAGTTTATTGATGTCAATAATTATAGTTATTGGTGTTTCTGAATAACTATAATTGGTCATCGAAATTTAGAAATCAGCCTTCGAGGGTACTTTCTACCCATGGTCTTATATTTTTACAAACAATTCGTTATCCGACTCGAATTTGCTATACTGTAGCGTATTCTGAAGAAGAAACCATACAGAAACAAAATTATCAAATTTATTATTAATAACAAATTAGTATTGTTAAAAACAAATTGTTCACAACGGAAATTTATAATAAAAGTGGAAAAATTAATAAATTACTGGTTACTATTTGTACTTATAATGTACGTATTTAAAAATGCACATATAATTTGCAATAGGTTTATAAATTATTATATTTATTGTTAATAATAAATTGTTTGCGACGTATATTTATAATAAAAATGAAAAAATGAATAAATAACCGGTTACTACTTGAATCTATAACGTACGTATGTGAAAATGTACTTATAATTTGCAAATACGTTTATGAATTATTAAATATATTGTTAGTAACAAATTAATATTGTTACCAACAAATTGTTCGCAACGTATATTTATAATAACAGTGAAAAAATTAATAAATTATTAGCTATGAAAGCGGAAAATTAATAATTAATAA